GACCTTGAATAGACCAATAACAAGTTCTGAAATTGAGGCAGTAATTAATAGCCTACCAAGGGAAAAAAGCCCAGGACCAGATGGATTCACAGCCGAATTTTTAAAGAGATGCAAAGAAGAGCTAGTACCATTCCTTCTGAAAGTATTCCAAAAAATAGAAGAAGAGAGAATCCTCTCAACTCATTTTATGAGGCCAGCATCTTCCTGATACCAAAACCTGGCAGGGATACAACAAAAAAAGAAAATTTCAAGCCATTACCCGATGAACACTGATGCGAAAATCCTCAATAAAATACTGGCAAACCAAATCCAGGAGCACATCAAAAAGCTTATCCACCATAATCAAGTTGGCTTCATCCCTGGGATGCAAGGCTGGTTCAACATATACAAATCAATAAATGTAATCCATCACATAAACAGAACCAGCAATAAAAACCACATGAATCTCAATAGATGCAGAAAAAGCCTTTGATAAAATTCAACAGCACTTAATGCTAAAAACTCTCAATAAACTGGGTATTGATGGAATGTATCTCAAAATAATAAGAGCTATTAATGACAAATCGACAGCCAATATCATACTGAATGGCAAAAGCTGGAAGCGATCCCTTCAAAAGCCGGCACAAGACAAGGATGCCCTCTCTCACCACTCCTATTCAATATAGAATTGGAAGTTCTGACCAGGGCAATCAGGCAAGGAAGGAAATAAGGGGTTTCAAACTGGAAGAGAAGAAGTCAAATTGTCTCTGTTTGCAGATGACATGATTGAATATGTAGAAAACCCCATCATCTAAGCACAAAATCTTCTTAAGCTGATAAGCAACTTCAGCAAAGTCTCAGGATGCAAAATCAATGTGCAAATACCACAAGAATTCCTGTATACCAATAATAGAAAGATACCCAAATTATGAGTGAACACCCATTCACAATTGCTACAACGAGAATAAAATGCCTAGGAATACAACTTACAAGGATGTGAAGGACCTCTTCAAGGAGAACTACAAACCACTGCTCAAGGAAATAAGAGAAGAAACAAACAAATGGAAAACATTCCATGCTCATGGATAGGAAGAATCAATATTGTGAAAACGGCCATACTGCCCAAAGTAATTTATAGACTCAAAGCTATCCCCATCTAGCTACCATTGACATTCTTCATAAAATTAGAAAATACTACTTTAAATTTTATTTGGAAACAATAAAGAGCCTGTATAGCCAAGACAATTTCTAAGAAAAAAGAATGAAGCTGGAGGCATTATGCTACCTGACTTCAAACTGTACTACAAGGGTACAATAACCAAATCACCATGGCACTGGTACCAAAACAGATATATAGACTAATGGAACAAACAGAGGCCTCACAACACCACACATCTACAACCATCTGATCTTTGACAAACCTGACAAAAACAAGCAATAAGGAAAGGATTCCTTATTTAATAAGTGGTGTTGGGAAAACTGGCTAGCCATATACAGAAAACTGAAACTGGACCCCTTCCTGATACTTTACACTAAAATTAACTCAAGCTGGATTAAAAACTTAAACATAAGACCTAAAATCATAAAAATCCTAGAAGAAAACCTAGGCAATATCCTCCAGGACACAGGCATGGGCAAAGAAGTCATGACTAAAACACCAAAAGCAAGGACAACAAAAGCCAAAATTGACAAATGGGATCTAATTAAACTAAAGAGCTTTTGCACAGCAAAAGAAATTATCATCATAGTGAACAGGCAACTTACAGAATGGGAGAAAATTTTTGCAATCTATCTATCTGATGAAGGGCTAATATCTAGAATCTCTGAGGAACTTCAACAAATGTACTAGAAAAAAACAACCCCATCAGAAAGTGGGAAAAAGGATATGAAGAGACACTTCTCAAAAGAAGACATTTATGTGGCCAACAAACATATGAAAAAAAGCTCATCATTACTGGTCATTAGAGAAATGCGAATCAAAACCACAGTGAGATACCATCTTATGTCAGTTAGAATGGCGATCATTAAAAAGTCAGAAAACCACAGATGCTGGAGAGGATATGGAGAAACAGGAACACTGTTACACTGTTGGTGGGAGTGTAAATTAGTTCAACCATTGTGGAAGACAGTGTGATGATTCCTTAAGGATCTAAAACCAGAAATACCATTTCGCCTACCAATTCCATTACTAAATATATACCCAAAGGATTATAAATCATTCTTCTAAAAGACACGTGCACATGTTTGTTTATTGCAGCACTAGTCACAATAGCAAAGACTTGGAACCAACCCAAATGCACATCCATAATAGACTGGATAAAGAAAATGTGACATATATACACCATGGAATATTATGCAGCCATAAAAAAGAATGAGTTCGTGTCCTTTGCGGGGACATGGATGAAGCTAGAAACCATCATTCTCAGCAAATGAACACAGGAACAGAAAACGAAACACCTCATGTTCTCACTCATAAGTGGGAGTAGAACGATGAGAACACATGGACACAGGGAGGGAAACAGCATACACAAGAGCCTGTCTGGGGGTGGGATGCTAGGGGAGGAATAGCATTAGGAGAAATACCTAATGCAGATTCTGGGTTGATGGTTGCAGCAAACCACCCATGGGACATATATACCTATGTAACAAACCTGCATGTTCTGCACAGTTATTCCAGAATTTAAAGTATAATAATTAAAAATAAATAAATAAAATATAGAAGCAGCTGGTGGCCATATTTTTAACATGTGGAAGAAGCTGGTCAGAGGGAACAACATACCTGGGTAGAGAGAAGCACAGATAGGAGATAGAGCATTTCAGAGATTACAAATTCCTGTTTTCAATAGTAACTAAGATCTAGCTGTACTTAGGCCTTTTTATTTTTACATGTTCAGATTTCTAATAAATTCCTCTCTGCTCAAGCTAGTTGCATCAAATTTCTCCACTTTCAAGTAAAAGAGTCTTGAATCACAGAACCTGAAAATTATGAACCAGAGAAAGTTGTTTAGGGAATACCACAAGCAAGTTGGTTCTGTTATGCCCAAGAAGCTTGCTTTGCTAAAAAATGTTGGCTTTCCCGTTTGAGTGGGATGCTACTTTATGAAGTATTAGATCCACAGCAAGACTGACTAAAACCTGATTAGTGTCCACATGAATCTGTTGTGTGGGGTCAAGAAAAACATTAAATTAAAAAGCCTTGCCATGTGTATGAGATGAATGCTTTGTTCATTTAAGCTTTCTCTCTTCCCTATTCTGCAACATGGAGCTCCTCCACTGGGATGAAACTCAAAGAATTTGTATGCAACCTCTATGCCACTTGAACCTTCATTTCTTGTCCCAGTGGGATTCATACTGCACAAAGTAGATGAGAAGCACAGCCTTTGCCAGGGGAAAATCCTAGATTGTAGACACTAATCATTTAGAGAAGGGGATAGTTATAATTTTTAAAATGTTTTTAATGGATAAGATAACAACCTGAAGCCGCTTGCAGTTCCTTGCCGATATGCACAGGGTCTTAGTCTAAGTCCAGGAGCTTCATGAGTTATGCATCACATCATATAACCCCTGTTCCACTAAGCGCCCCATCCTGCTCATTAGGACATGGATTTTGCCCCCAATGTCCATTTCTAACGCCTTTCTTTACCTTACCCCACCTTGACTTGGGGCTGTGCTTTCTAGGCAGCTGCCGCACTGTGGCAAAGAAGATTAAGTCCTAGACTATAGATCTGGAGATAACAAGGGACTTTGCCATTTACTTGTTTTACAAACTTATGTAAATTAATCTCTGGGCCTCTTTTCTTCAGTGGAATGAAGAAATAATACCAATCTTGTAAAAAAATTTTATGGGGTCCAAAGTGGCTCCCGCCGGAGGTCATGGCGCTTGTGAAGGCGAGGTCATCAGTTCAAGGCTAACCTGAGCAACCTCATAAGCTCAAACTGATTGGAAAAAAAAAAAAAAACAATTTATTAGTCAATTAATGCAAAAATATCTATTGAATGCCCATTACATGCAAGGCTCTTTTTTGGGGATTTAGCAGTGAACAAAACAAAACCCCAAAGTCCCACTTACCTAAATTTTATAGTGGAATTAAAGAGACAGATTATAATGGGTTATATATATACATACGATGTAAGAGAATGACAAGTGTTAAGGAAGGAAATAAAGCAGAGAAACAGATTAGGAACTGCATAAGGGTGATTTAACTTTGGAAATGTGGCTCAGAAAGACCTCTCTGAGGAGGCTGTTTTTGCGTAAAGGTTGGCTGAAAGAAGAGGTCAAGCCATGCAGGTACGTGAGGTAGGAGCTTCCCAGGTGGAGAGAACAGCAGGAGACATGGTTTTGAGGAAAGACTATGCATAGTGCATTGGAGGAACAGAAAGACCATCATTGTGGTCAGAGTGGAGTGAGGTGGAGGAAAGATCATGGGCAGCCCTTCTGGTTCCTGTGATGTCTTCAGCCTTTACTTTGAGTGAGATGGGAAGCTATCGGAGAGTTCTGCATCAATTGCCTGGAACGTGCATAGACTAGTTCTGGCGCATAGCAGTGTTCAGTAAATGCTTGCTGGCTGAGCCAAGTGTTTGGTTTGTTTGTATCCTTTTGCTTCCGCTTTCAGCAGGAGCTTCAGCCTTGGGATCAAGGCCACGTGGTGTCATGGTCTTTTCAGAGTACAGGAAGTCCTCTGAATTCTCAGGAATGCCTGCAGCAGCTCTCTGATTTTTCATCACTGTCATCATTTCTTTCAAAGAAGAGAGTGGCCAAAGTTGGCTTAGAGCCTGCAGTGCAGTCGATTCATACTTCTGCCAATATCTCATTAGTATTTGTATATTTCCCAGGATAGCTAATGTATTTCCCCTCTGATATCTGATAGTTAACATATTTCCTCTCTATCAATATGGATAGAAGCTTGTTAAATATGTTTACCTAGTAGTTTTTGAGCCATTATAAAAATTAATTATACAATGCTCAAGAGAGCATAAAAATAGAAAAACAGAGTGAGTTGATTAGAGAGAAAGAATCACACCTGCTGGTTTCTCACATGACCTTGATCTTGCGATAGAATTGTAATGGGAGGGAAGTTGGCTGACGATGTTGAAAGTGAAGTTTCCACTCCCTCTGTGTTCACAGATGTTCTGAACTAGATCCAGTCATCCCTAAGAAAATCAGAAAATTAAGGTTAGAGATGTGCACAAATGAGCACCTGCTATTCAAAACAATAATTTAAAAAACTCCCTTGTTAGAGTAAGCAAACAACAAAACAGCTGTGAAGTAAAATGTGGCTTTCCTGCCACATTTTCCTTTTATTTGTTTTAGAAAGGCATTTAACCAATGCTTGTTAGTTCTGAGCCTTACTGGTTGATGAATGCTAAAGCTACTAAGCCAGAATTTAATTTAGTCCTTTATTTAAGAATGTGTCCATTAATAGTCTATGTGTTAGTAAAGATTCTCCAGAGAAAGAGAACCAACAGGAGTTATGCCTTCACAGACATGACACATGCACACACATAGTGAGAAATAAAATAAATAAATGTCATTATGTATAATATATTTCAAATATATGTATCATATAAGTGAGATTTATTATAAGGAATTGGCTCATGGGATTGTGAAGGCTGAGTGTAAGCTGGAGACTCAGGAAAGTCACTGGTGTAATTTCCAGTCTGAGTCCAAAGGCCTGAGAACCAAGGGCCCCAATGATGTAAGTCCTAGTTCAAGGGCAGGAGAGGAGGTATGCTACAGCTCGAGCAGTCAGGCAGAGAGAGAATCCAACCTTCCTTTGCCCTTTTGTTCTATTCAGGCTCTCAGTGGGTTGGATGACACCTATCTACAATGAGGAGGGCTAAGTGCTTTACTCAGTCCACAAATTGAATGCTATTCTCTTATGGAAACACTGTCAGTGACATACGCAGAAATAATGTTTAACCAGATATCTGGGCACCCTATGGCCCAGTCAAATTAACAAATAAACTTAAGCATCACACCTTATTTCATTTTTTTAAGCACATTTATTTTTCTCTCATCATCTTCCTCACCTACAAAACAGTAAGGCCTATTGACTATTTGGTCACAACTATGTCACCAGAATTTTTAGAGTGCAGAGTGTATTTAAAATGAAAAATCTATAATTCACTTGAAGAGGATAAACAATCTTTTTATGACATGACTTATAGTCATGGTGGCAATCATAATATATTCATCAAATGTGTTTGCAACAAATGGGAATAACAATCCCTGAAATCACAGTTTACTTTTTGAAACAAACATGTTTATTAGCAATGTCTATAAAATATCATATAGAATTTCTAATACATCTATGATTTTTTTACATTTTCTAGATAACTTTTAGAATAAAATGTGTTGAAATAGATTGATAAAAAAGAAAATTGGAGTCAATAAGATTAAAGACCAGGGAATATAGGAGAATTACATTTTTCCAGACCAGATAATTATGATCTGATGATCTGACTCAGTTTGAATAGGACTCCATGAAAATGTGTCCTTTAAGGGTTGCCTAGGTGAGACCAATTCGTGTTCAATGAATTTTAGATATATTTTATTTTCCTTACTTTTGTTAAAAGTCTGAGTAATTGGAAGGAAATAGACTTCAGCATATTGTGTGAACATTTATTTTGGTGAGTTGAAATTGGGAAGAATGTATTCATCTATTTATCTATTTTATTAAGTGGGCCAGAACCCTCCCAGTCTCTGGTAAGAGTACCGTCCTTGTTAGGAGAGTGCCCCTTCCTTCAATTCTTTGCCATAGAATTCAGTGGATACCCCCATTTTTTTGCAGAACTTTTTCTTCCCTGCCAAAGTGACTGGATGAGAAGCAGGCAACTATTCCAGGTCAGAACAGCCCTGTTACCCAATCCCACAATAGGCATATATGGCCCAATCTGACCTAAATCAGAGTCTTCGTCAGAAGCTGGACAATATTTCTCACATTCATTTTAAAATCTTGGAAAACTCAAAGATAAATTTACCTTTTCAGGTTGAGTCTAACATTTAAATTGCTAGTTTTTGTTTATTAATGTTGCGTTAAAATACCTTATGGATTTTTGTCTTTTGCTCAGATGCAAACAAATATGCTGCCTATGTAGTGGACATCTTAGAAGTTGAAATTACAAACAAACAGGCTATATGGAATGTAGCTTAAAATACAACCTTTAAATTTTTTAGTGTGTATTTTTGTTTTACTATTTCTTCCTCTATATAACTTTGTATTTATAAAGAAAACTTTCTGCTCTGATAGCTAACAAGAATTTAGACTTGTATCTGAGCACTTTTATAGGGCCACATATATTTGTTATCATGTAGTAACTTAAAATATGTACACACACACACACACGCACACGCCTGTCTGCAATGAAACCTATATCATGCAATTTGCCATTACTGAAACTAAGACCACCTCTCCTCTGATCACTGGCTGTTTGCAAAATATTCTAATGATAAAGGCAAGCTCACTGGTAAATTTTTTAAAAGTCAGTTTAGGTTTTTTGTTGTAGAAAGTCCAATTTTTGTTTTCATTGTGCACTGGTTTTATGTTGGCTATTTATGAAAACAGTTATTATATGTGGTCTGCCAGGAGTCTGTTGAAGCATCTCACAGTCATCAATGTTCATATGTAGATATACATATTGCCATCTTTGACATCAACAGATGTAGCATTTTCATACCATACAGGAAGTAATGGTGCCTGACATTTCTAGGTTGAAAGCCCCTCTTTGTTTCTTGCACTAATGGAAATAGACTTTGTGGCCTTGTTCACTTGCTGATTGAACGTAAATGCTTCCATAAAAATAGGGAAGTTTTTTATTTTATTATTTCACCGAAGTTGGGAAATAAAGGTAAAGGAAGAAAATTGCCAAAGCAAAGATGATTTTTAAAATAGTTTAAATTCTATGCATCTAAATTAGAATGGCTATACAAGTAGTAACAATTCCTACTTTTGTAGGTGATGAGTGGTATAACATATCTATAAATGACTAATGGACAGAATGCTTCTAAATAAAGGTATAAAGACAGCTGAACTATACTGATTTCCTGGCATCATTTTTTTATGTAGGTGCTATTTTGTTGAGGTCTGAATGAAAGCTCAACTCCTTGATTCTGAAGAAAGGGCCCTCATGATGTCAATCAGACAATATTAGCATCCAGTGCTTTCCAGTCTCCTTGGATCAGCGATGCTTTTACCAGCTCCCATTTTCTAATGGAATCCTAGCATATTACCTGAATTTTTGACATGTTGGGGAATCACTTGCAACAGAAAGAATTAGCAGCTGAATATACAGCACAGCTGTGAGTTGAGGTTGGTAGTTTTTATATACCGAAGAAAAAGCTGCACTTAAATTTCTTATGTAAGATTTGGGTGATATTTTCTCATATTGTGAAATCTTGAGGCTGACTGGCTATACTCTATACCCAGTGCAGTAGGATGGGGGTGCTCTGATGTAGTGGAAGCAGGAAGGTGAAGGTACTGATAAGATTTTTCAAGAAAAAGAGCCCAAACACGTTTATTGATATTTTTCTGATTAAAAGCCTTGACATGTATTTTTTATTTTTCAACATTGTTATATTTATTGTAAAGTTTTTTTTAATATTGATACTAATATTTTAGTTTTATTTAAGGACACATGTTTGTGTAAAAAATGTAGGTTTGTGAAAAATAAAAATAGGAAAAAAATTGCTATTCATTACCTCATCATCCAGAAATACTATTAAAAGATTGGTGATATTTACTTTCAGTAATTTATCTATGTAAAGCACACTAAAAATATCAGTCTCTTAATTAGGCATCTTATGGTGTTATTTCCTTTTCTGCTTTTTAAATATAAAATTATATGATGAATATTGCTCAACAAGACCTACAATGGCTACATGGTATTTTATCCTATCAATGTACAAAACATTATTTAATTTTGTTGTTTTTGGAAACAGTTATTTGCTATATAAAATGATGATCCAGTTTATATTTTGGTGGCAATTTGGCAATATCTAATCGAGTTGAAGCTCTGTATGTCCTATAGACTTGCAGCGTAATTTGGGTTGTATACTTGAAAGTCTTGCCTATGTATTGTGAAAGAAGAAGTGTGCATTGCTGCATTGTTTATAATGCCTGGCTAACCATATAGTAGACTGTGGTTTATTTATATCATGGCACAGTGTATAGGCATGCAGTGAATGCAGCACACAGTAAGTACAGTAAAATGAGTATAAGTTGAAGAAACTCTATCTATATTGAGTCAATATGGATAAACCTCCAAAACTTAAGGTTAGGATAAAAATGAAAGTGGCAAAAGTCTAAATAGTATAACAGTTAACACTTTTACACTGTTGATGGGAGTGCAAATTAGTGCAACCATTCTGGAAGACAATGTGGCGATTCCTCAAGAATCTAGAAATAGAAATACCATTTGACCCAGCAATCCCATTATTGGGTATATACCCAAAGAATTATAAATTGTTCTATTATAAAGACACATACGCACGTATGTTCATTCTGGCACTGTTTACAATAGCAAAGACCTGGAAACAACCCAAATGTCCATCAACGATAGACTGGATAGAGAAAACGTGGCACATACATACCATGGAATACTACGCAGCCATGAAAAATGATGAGTTCATGTCCTTCCTAGGGACATGGATGACTCTGGAAACCATCATTCTCAGCAAACTGACACAAGAACAGAAAACCAAACACCACATTTTCTCACTCATAGGCGGGTGTTGAACAATTAGAACATGTGGACACAGGGAGGGGAGCATCTCACAAAGAGATCAGTTGGTGGGGACTAAGGGAGGGACAGTGGGGTGTAGGGGAGGATGGGGAGGGATAATGTGGGGAGAAATATCAGATATAGGTGATCGGGGGAGGAAGGCAGCAAACCACCTTGCCATGTATGTACCTATGCAACAATCCTGCATGATCTGCACATGTACCCCAGAACCTAAAGTACAATTAAAAAAATCAAATAAAATAAAAAAGAAAATGTTAAAAACACAATTACAATATATTGTTTGTGGATTTCCCAGTAGTATATCCACCCATGCAATAGCCTTCCCAACTGATGTTGGAGATGAATATCCATATTCTTATCTAAAGCCAGTCCTCTTATTTGTGCAGAACATCTGAGCTCTTTCCCTTTTT